AAAATCCTTGATTCACAAGCAAAATTTAAAAACATTCTTTAAAACACTTATAACCAATAACCAAACATATTTTCATGATTCTTAGGAATCATAATTCTAAGAATTTATGATTCATATTTCCTTGTAAACTCATTTGAATGTTTTGAATCGCTAGATTTTCTTAATAATTGTCTCATTCAGGATTCTCTACCGATAATTCCTTTAATGAAAACAATTCCTAATAATATAATTTTCAAACATGAGAAAATTTACTGTATACCAAACATTCTCTTTGAAAAAAAAAATCTACCCGTGCATAGAAAAATAATGGAAGCTTTTAATCCATTAAATAAACAAATAACAAATAAAAGTATAGATAGTGTTTTTAACAACTTTTTTTTTAAGGTAAACAATTGTTTTTTCAAAGGAAAATATCGGTCCAAAACACATATTAGTAACGCTTTTGATTAAATTTAAATTTCGAGAATACTTATTTATTAAAATATTTTCGAAAAACTAGGTAAAAATAGTTGCTTATTTCTTCAAAACAAACTAGCTAATATTTAATTAGTAGATTGATAATATATGGTACCGTAAGATGTGGGTCAACGACGGTGCATGAACCAAAAATGGACTACTTTAGATCTAAGCCAAAATGGTAAAAAGAAAAAGCACCAACACCAAATGAAAAGTTTCAACTATATATAATAGTGGTCATAATGAATGAAGAGGGAGCAGGAATTGTGATAGAAGACTAGAAGACTAGAAGACTATCCTCATTTTATAATATTTTTTATAAAAAAAAAAAAATATAATGAGCTAAATGGGTCTTACATTGGAAAAAAGTTTTCAATTAGAATAGTTACCACCCACTTACATATAATACGCCATGTAATAGTGCCTCGGTATATAGATAACTATGTATTGACATATAGTAAATACACGAAATTCAACAGATACCATACATGTTAAGGGATTCCAAAATTTCAAAGTTATTAAAAATATATGAAAAGTAATTAAATTTCTTTCACTTTTAATTTTTTTACAAAGTAATTTTTTATGCATTTAAATTATTTGTTTTTATAAAGTAATTTAATTTTTATTATATGTAAAATTTATTTTATATGATATTTTGAAATTCTTTCTCATTATTTAAAAAAAAAATAGATTTTTCAATACTATTGTATTTGTAGAAATATCCTTCATTTTTGTCAAAAAATTAGTCTTCCTTATAATCTTATTACATTAAAGCAATTCTTGTCGGTATCTTTTTTTTTTTTAATTTTTTATCAAATCCAAAATTTAAATTCGAGACTTTGAAATTTGAGAATCAATTATAATATTAATTACATTGGTTAAAAATCTTTAGATTTTATATTTAAACAAGCCATTTTAATATATATTATTTTAAATTTCCTTAAAAACAAGTTTCTCCCTCAATTAATGTTTTCCCCCCTCCAACTAGTAAATTAGAGAATCGTTTTTAGAAACCTGTGCAACAACCAACAGAGTTTTTTTTTTTTTTTTTTTTTAGAGCATGTATATATGTTTTCACTGATAGTGGTGTAAATTAATTGTTCAACTGTTCTTTTGATTAATTGGTAGTATAGATTAGTGGGTAATATGTGCCTCACATACTAGTGGACAATTAAGTCAATGACGAGTAATTAACATTTTATTAATCAGTTAATTTTATAGGACCACAACATCAGAATGGAATGCTTCAATCTCTGTGTGTCGTCTAACCTATACTGATAATATGAAAACAATATATATACATGCTCAATTGCCTTCTTAACCACCATTGCTTCCTAATGCCACTGCATTTTTCTTTTCCTCTTTTAGTTTTCTTTAATGCCACCTCATCTTTCATTTTAATATATCCAATTATATACCTAAAATTAGTGCTAGTGTCTATTATATAAAGTGGCATCACCAATATGTGGCGTCTTTTACAGATAATTATAAACAAAATTGATAATATTATCGATAATTCATGATTGAGGGATAGTTTAAACTATATTTACACTATCAATTTAATTCATTCAGGTTAATCTTTGTTGATATATAAGTTTTATTTAATAAATATGAAATTATTAATATAGATATTATAGATTATTCTAACAATATTTAATTTTAATTTTTTTAAGAATCAGAAAAAGGGACTTGTTTATAAGATAAATGAACGAGTGATGATTAGTTTTGAATTAAAAGTCGCGTTTGGAAACATGAAATGATTAACATGTTTAATAATAATTTATTATGGTGACAGGTGAGCTGCTACTAGCTGAATGTACCTTTAAGCAGAAGATGAAGTTTAACCGAAAGAAATTATAAGGAATCGTACCCTTCAGTAGGAACCAACCGTCCTAAAGCTCTTACTTCGTATACTTGCAAGGACGGAGCCAAGGGGGACCTACGGGTGCCACGGCCCCCCCAACAATTTTAATTTTTTTTTATATACATATATATTACTATATGGCACCCTCTATTTTTAATATAAACTCATATTTTTAATATAAACTCATATGTATATTACTATATGGCACCCCCTATATGGCACCCCCAGTATTGAAATCCTGGCTCCGTCCCTAATACTTGTATGATAAATGTGCCTTCCTTAGTCCATATTCATCAACCCAATGTCCCTTTCTTTCCTTCTTTTGATTCCTCATCACTTACTCCCCTATACTATATACTCACTCGCACATTCTTATTCCCACAACCAACATATAATAATAAAATTATGCTATATATGTTTACCAACAAGTCATTAATATTTGAGCTTTTATAGATGAGAATAATTTATATTAAAAATGATTAGACAGATTTTTAAAAAGATAATAATCACTAGTAAAGTGAGTATATACTTCACAATATTAATGACATGATTACTTTTTTTTTTTATATATAATAAATATGATCAATACAGTATTTCAAAATTAATAACTAAAAATTAATCTGTATTTACAAAACATGATTTCAATTTAGGAGTATTAAATTGATCTTTACGTTCCAAGATAGACCAAGAAATTTGGTTGTGACATCATTACTAGAAAGATGAATGTTAAATACAACACTATTTAAACATTTATTATTAACTAAAATTTATTAAAAATCAAAAATTTTATAATTCATGTATTTAATTTATCGAGTTTATCTCTTGATTTAATTAGTGTTATACTTATTAAAATTTGTAATTTTTAAGTTAATAATAGAGAAAATATTTAGAAAAATATGATACTATTCTTTTTTATTGCAAACAAAATATATATATATATATATATATATATATATATATATATATAATAAAAAACAGAAAGATGAATGTTAAATACAACACTATTTAAACATTTATTATTAACTAAAATTTATTAAAAATCAAAAATTTTATAATTCATGTATTTAATTTATCGAGTTTATCTCTTGATTTAATTAGTGTTATACTTATTAAAATTTGTAATTTTTAAGTTAATAATAGAGAAAATATTTAGAAAAATATGATACTATTCTTTTTTATTGCAAACAAAATATATATATATATATATATATATATATATATATATATATATTACATTAAACAAGTATGTTATTATTAACGGTTATAATATTCTTACGATCTTTATATATCATACAAAAAATGTTATGCAAACTAATTATAAAATACAATTTCTCTTTTAAAATTTCTCCATATTACATTTTCATGGATAAATTTTTTTAGATAATTGAATTATAGCTATTATGGAAGTAATTGTTTTTCAAGGCATATAAAAATACTTATTATATTCAACAATAACTATATTATTTTAAATTATAGTTAAATTACTTTAAAATCTCACATAATTTTAAAAATTAATAATTTATTTCTATATAATTATTCTTAAACTATCAATTCTTTAAACTATGTATATACAACTCATAAAAAACTATGCATATGCATATATTTTTAAATTTTTTCCTGCGACCTATGTATACACCTTAATTATTTAGTTGCCCATAATATTATTTTATTTTTTATTCTCTTTAACATCACCCTTGAATGAAATTAACTTATAAATTGGACACTTTTTCAAGTTAATGTTATATTGTAAACCGTTTTATACCAACAAGTTGTTGATTAAAGTATTGTGGATGGAAAAAAGAATGTGTTTATGAAAGTAGAGTTCATCAAGAATAATCAATCAATTTTTTAGATGTAGATTAATCATTAACAAGATCAATAAATAGTTCATAAGGGAAAAAAACATAATTATAAAAAAAAGTATGATTTCATTTCACAATACATACATTAAATTAAGAAAAATGAGAATTGATTTTTCCATTTTAAGAGGGTTAGCAACAGTAGCGTAGTTTGATTCTGTTGCAAGGTGTTTGCTTGAAAGCCACCCGAATCTGAAATGATGACACTTGGATTAGCACTTTTCTTGAAACAGGCTTTGACATGCTTTTAACGTGCAATCACACTTTGCTTCAATGGGTTAGTGTAAATACTTAGCCCTCCTAAAGTTGTGTGCAAAAGCGAGCGTTGAAACCCACTCTGAACGTTAACGCCAACCTTTAATTTCTTTCTCTTTTCTAACTCCTCCCAACCCACTTTATCAGTTACTCACAATATCTCACATTCATAAATATCAATAATCTCCATCTCTAATCCCATCCTAATTTCGCTAACATATACAATGTTAAGTTACACCCTATATCAATTAATTATATATACTCCTACGACTCTCAGTCATTAAATTGAACATTAATTGCGAAATTAAAACGATGTTAATCATGGAAGAATAATGGAACATCCAAGGCAATGGAGCATTGGCGTACGCAACAACAGCAACAGCAACAGCAACAGCATCAGCATGGGATAATAAAATATTGGTTGATAAAAGTAACTCTAACTCCCTGTAATAATATTATAATAAAATTATGAAGTAGTAGAAGTGAGGAAAAAAGTGTGGTGATGATGGAAGCGTAGAGAGAAGTGCATAGCGAGGCGCGTGAGAAAGCGAAACATGTTAGTTTTCTTGTTAGTAACACTTCCAAGGTTGGAAACGCAAGGAAGATTTTGGTGACAGACCACTTGGGTGTAGCTGTTATAAGACGGCTTCAAACTCATTTGTTGCCATTCACTACACACATATATTTAACTACCTCACTCATCCTACTCACATATGCATCACTTTCTCTCTCTCTCTTACCTTTTTTCACATATCAAACCCTTCTCTCCTCACTCTCCTTCTACGTCTTTCATTCACCATAACTTTCTTAATTTCTCAGATTCAGATTGTGATGGACATGGAAGGCTTCGATTCTAATTCTACCCACAACATAGCCAAGGGCAAACGTACCAAAAGGATGAGGCTTTTGTCTGGTGTCGCCGCCACCACCACCACTGTTGCCACCACCATGACCATGACGTCTAGCTGCTCTAGCGCCAACTCCACCACCACTTATGAGAGTGAAGAGGAAGACATGGCAAATTGCTTGATTCTCTTGGCCCAAGGAGGGGAATCTCATCCTCATCATCATAATCATCATCATAATCATCATCATCATCATCATCATCATCATCATGACAAGCAACAACATGTTGAAGATCATGATCTTGATAAGGTTAATAACAACAACCTTATCATGACTAGTGCTGTCGCCACCACCACTACTGCTAATACCAAAGTTGGTTTTTACGTTTATGAGTGCAAAACGTGTAACCGAACGTTCCCTTCGTTTCAAGCGCTAGGAGGGCATAGAGCGAGTCACAAAAAGCCGAAGGTTGTGGGTGAAGAGAAAAAGGCAGCAGCGTCTGAATTGGCACACATGAATGTTGTTAGCAATTGTGATCGGTTTGAGGAGGCAAATAATGTTAAAAGTGGTCCTGAAATTTCCCTTCAATTGGGTCATGGAAACAACAAGGGTAAGATTCACGAGTGTTCCATTTGTGGCTCTGAATTCACATCGGGGCAAGCATTGGGTGGGCACATGAGGAGGCATAGGGCATCCACAAACACCAACAACGGTGTTGTTGTGGACACAACAAGTTGCAACAACACTGCTCCGACAAGGAATGTCTTGCAATTGGATCTTAACCTCCCGGCGCCGGAAGACGATCTCCGGGAGCCTAAGTTTCAATTTCCGGCCACGCAGGTGGCTTTGGTAGATTGTCATTATTAGGCCAGGGTGGGAACTGGGAAGGAATTAATTGGAATTTCAAAGAGTTATTATTATTTTGATTTTGATATCAATGTGAATTATTATTACCCTTATTTTTTATTTACAAATTAATATTCCTAATCATCGATTCTTTGGATTATATATTGAAAATTCGACCCTTTGGTTTATTAATAATTCCCATTTTGATATATGGGATGGATCTACTTGTTGAAGTTGGAATACTTTGAGTAAGTAAGTGGTTAGTGTTGATGGGTTGCCTTTCATTCACGGAAAGGGAGTGATCGTTCATAAGGCATCTTTTATTTTAATTAATTATTTTTTGGGTGTATGTGTAGTGTGGAGTTATAGTTTTGTGGTAAGGCAAGAGTGCAATGAAATGGAATGGCATGGGATGGAGATGGGGATGGATATGGCTAGCTAGGGTTTGGGTTTGGCATCACCACGACCACAACCAAAAGTCATGGATTAGGTTCCCTTTGTGTGCTTTCGATTTTATTATAATAAAGCTAAAAGATCTCTTTCTCACTCACATTCCCACTCCTTTCATTAATGACGAGAATAAAGGATTTCCCAAAACTGCCTTGGATAAATATGCACGCCCATCACCATCTATCTTTCAATTCATTTCACTGCCTCTCTGTCTCTTACCATTATTAATTTTAAATTCAATAAATAATACATTTATGAATTATCCAAGCTACCCAAGACACCACCTTATACCCTTTCACCTAATTAATTACCAACTGCTTTCTTCTTACTTTATAATGATATGTGAACTTAATCAAGTTTGATTAAATTAACTACACTTTTTTATTTTATTTTTTATATGTAATGATTAATTAATAATTAGCTTTGGGATTATCTGATGGGCATAGAAAGTTGATGCTCCCAAGAAAGATATATAGTATTAAGTTTGAAGCCACAAGAGCATTTGATTTGGAGTTATATATACGAATGGTCCAGTGATTGGAGTTGGACCCATCACCCACTGGTTACTGTTTATCTACTACTACTCTTTTGCAGCTATAAACTGGAGCCTTATTTATGTAGTTCACATAACCAAATATCAGAAAATGACAGCCTCAATGACAAGCAATTTCATTTTCTCTCTTCCACGCAAAATAACAAGGAAAAATGCAAAAGAGGGGCATATATTAATGAGTGAGAGATAAAACTTAAATTAAGGAGAGAGAGAGATGGAAGAGTTTAAAGTGAGTTACAGTGGGCACTTATATAAAGTTAGTTATGTGCACGTTTTTGTGAATGCTGGTAAGCGAAGCATGTGGACATGTACATTGCGTGAGGTGTCCGAATGCATAAGAAATATGAGAGAAGATATCACTCATTGACATTGGCACATGTAGTTGGCCAGGTTCCCTCCATGTTCTGTAAACTCTCATTTTATATATAAATAAATAATATATTCTCCTTTATTTAATTATCATATTATTCTCATACTCATAAATCACCCAACCATAATACCATTACTTTGCTTGCTTTCCCAAACCCCAATTTTAATTTTTGCTCTGCATTTCAACAATATATTTCTTCAATTATATACATCTTAGCAGTAATCGCACGAACCTTATCTTAATAGGACCCACCGTTTTTTCCCCTACGAAGAAAACCGTGATTTTTCTTCTGTATGTGAGATGATTTCCAAAACAAGAGATCATGGGGTTGTGTACTACAAAATACTAATTTAGCTTTTCACTTAGCTTACTCCAAATGGCCTTACTCAATTACCAGGCACGACGAGACAAGGCCCTCGTATCTGCTGAGATGTCAATGTCCTTTTGATGGAAAAGAGTTGAAGATTGTGAGTCCTATTTATTTTTCTAATTAATCCAACAAACGTAGAGAGAGAGAGAGAGAGTAGTCAGAACCGCTACTTACTCTTCTACATTTTTTTTTCCTTATAAGAGCTAATCTTATATTATAAATCAATTAATTAAGCGTGTGTTTGATTACTCTTTCACACACATTCCAATGCACTCAAACAGAAAAATATGATTATGAATGAATTGAGTTCAACGTATGTTTAGCTATTCTAAACGGTAAAACAAACATGTACTAAGTCTCTATTCAGCTAGTTGAATAAAGTGCATAAGTTATTTAAACTCTTTAATGTAGAGTTTGATTTCCACATTAAAAAAATATATTATAAACCTTAATTTATCATAAGAAACTAATCTCTTCTTCAAGTGCAATCAAATTTAACTTTACAAAATTGATATATAAGATAAATATCGTTTCTCACTTATATACATTATTTTAGCTATAAGTTAGTAAATGTGAGATTTTCAACACATCCATTAAGTGAGAGACTAAAAATTTGTTAAAATAAGCATTTGCAAGTGATATGATAATGACTTGATAATTAATACTAAATAGATCCGACAACAATAATTATAATAAAGTTTAATATCATCTTATAATGTGAATTTTTTTATATCTAATTTAGTTTTACAAAACCTAATTGAGAAATAAGAATTGTCCTCTTCTTATATTCATTAATTATATATTTTAGTTATATGTATTAGTCAACATGAGAATTCTAACACTCTTTTTATTAAACCAATTAATCCCATTCTTTGTAGAATTTGATATACAATATATTAAGAATTTTTGAATCTAAATGAATTGGCCTGATTTTCAAACTACACTTACAGCTAGCTGGGTGGCTTTGATTGAATTAATAGATCCAGTTGTTGTAGGGCCCGATTGTCCACCTGTTCCACCATCATAGTATGATATTGTCCGCTTTGGGCCCAAGCCCGCACGGTTTTGTTTTTGGGCTCCTTCCCAAAAGGCCTCATACTATGTGGAATGGTGGACACTTATAAACTAGCCAATGTTCCTTCATTTTACCGATGTGGGACTTGGGATGAATCCCAACAAACCTCCCCTCAGACCAAGGACCACATGTCTCGTGATCTCCTCCCCTCAAGCGATAATCCGTCACCATCTTGTACCGCCGTAATGCAGAGCCTCAGTTTGTCAGTTGTAACAGTCTTAGTTAGCATATCTGCTGGATTTTCTGATCCTGAAATCTTCAGCAGAGATAATTCTTCATCATTTATCAATTCTCTAATGAAATGATATCTTAATTGAATGTGCTTGCATCTAGAATGGAAGACAGGATTCTTCGCAAGACATATAGCACTCTGACTGTCACTGAACAATGGAGCGTTCTTTTGTTCTTTCCCTAATTCACTGAGAAAGTTCTTTAGCCAGATCATCTCCTTGGCTGCTTCTGAGATAGCTATGTACTCAGCTTCGGTAGTTGAGAGAGCAACTCTATTCTGAAGCTTAGACTTCCAACTCACTGCAGTTCTCCCCAAGGTGAAAATGTAACCAGTGGTGCTTTTTCTAGTGTCCAAATCTCCTCCCAAATCTGCATCAGAGAACCCTTGTAAAGTGAAATTACCTCTTTTGAAGAGCAAATTTATTCCTGAAGTACCCTTCAGATATCTTAATATCCACTTTACACCTTCCCAATGCTTCTTCCCGGGATTCGATAGGAATCGACTGACAACTCCAACAGCATGTGCTATGTCAGGTCTGGTGCACACCATGGCATACATTAAGCTCCCAACTGCTGATGCATATGGTACTCTTGACATGTGGTCCTTTTCTTCAACTGTCTCTGGAGATTGCTTCTTTGAGAGCTTCATGTGAGTTCCCAAAGGGGTGTTCCTGATTTTGGCATCTCCAACATTAAATCTGTCAAGAAGCTTTTCTATGTATTTCTCTTGAGACAACTTCAAGACTCCTTCTAGTCTGTTTCTAGAAATCCTCATGCCAAGAATTTGTTTAGCTGGACCAAGATCCTTCATCTCGAAGTGGTCTGTCAATTGCTGCTTTAGCCTGTTAATTTCTGTCATATTTGGCCCTGCAATTAGCATGTCATCAACATATAGAGCAAGGATAATATAACTGTTAACATATTTCTTAACATAACAGCAATGATCCATGTCACATCTGCTAAATCCTGAGTTTTGCATAAACTCATTAAATTTTTTGTACCACTGCCTTGGTGCTTGTTTCAAGCCATACAAGCTTTTATGAAGCTTGCATACAAGATTTTCCTTGCCTGAAACTTTAAAACCTTCTGGCTGAGTCATATAAATATCTTCATCTAAATCTCCATGCAAGAATGCAGTTTTAACATCTAACTGCTCCAAATGAAGATTCTCTGCAGCAACAATGCTCAGTATGACTCTGATGGTAGTCATTTTTACAACTGGAGAGAAAATCTCTGTGAAGTCAATTCCTGGTTTCTGCTGAAATCCTTTGACCACAAGTCTCGCCTTGTATCTTTTTCTGCCATCAGATTCTTCCTTCAGCCTGTAAACCCACTTGTTTTGTAGAGCCATCTTTCCTTCTGGCAATTCAGTTAACGACCAAGTACCATTCTTTTGAAGAGATGTCATCTCATCCTTCATTGCTAACTCCCACTTGACAGAATCATTCCCCTGTATAGCCTCATCGAAGTATTCTGGCTCACCAGCATCAGTCAACAATAAATAGTGCAATGAAGGAGAATACCTTTCTGGTGCAACTGAAACTCTGCAGGATCTTCTCAAAGGAGGAGATGCTGGTTCTGATTCAACCTCTATATCTGTACTCTGGCTTCTGTTGGTTATGTCGCTTTCTGAAATTTCTTCAAGTTCTACTTTCTCAGAAGGCTCTGGCAACTTGTCTGTATCAATAGATTCTGCAGAAAATCTATCCTTATAAAATAGATTCTCATTAAAAGTGACATTCCTGCTTCTGATGATTTTCTTGTTTTGGTCATCCCAAAATCTGTAGCCATACATGTCAGAACCATAACCAATAAAATAACACTTTTTGGCCTTGGGATCCAATTTGTCTCTACTATCAGAGTCTATCAAAACATATGACACGCAGCCAAATACTCTTAAATGTGAAAGATTTACCTCCTTCCCAGACCATACCTCTTCAGGCAATTGATAACCCAAAGGAACTGATGGTCCTCTATTTATGAGATATGCTGCTGTGTTGATTGCATCTGCCCAAAACACCTTAGGCAAGCCCGATTGGATCCGCATGCACCTAGCCCTCTCGTTCAATGTTCTATTCATTCTTTCTGCAACACCGTTTTGTTCTGGTGTTCCTGGTATTGTCTTGATCATTCTGATCCCATGTTCTGAACAGAAGTTCTTGAATTCGTGGCTATTATACTCTCCACCATTGTCAGATTTCAGACTTTTCAACTTTAAACCTGTCTGATTTTCAACTTCTGTTTTCCATCTTTTAAACACAGAAAACACGTCAGATTTATTTTTGAGAAAATAAACCCATACCTTTCTCGTAGCATCATCGATAAAGGTGACATAATAGCATGAGCCTCCAAGAGATTTCACTGGAGCTGGCCCCCAAACATCTGTATGCACCAATTCAAGCCTTTCTGTTTTCAGTGTCTTTCCTTGCCTTGAGAAACTAATTTTTCTCTGTTTTCCCAAGATACAGTGTTCACAAGTGCCGACATCTACGTGCTTTAGT